CTGGGAGCTGGCTGGGTATAAACTTCGACATTTTGGAGGGTGAAGAAGCATTCTAGAAGCTCCACCAATGAGCATGAAAGGAAGCTGGTAGGTGTTGAATGAATGACCAAGATAATCAATTTATTAAAAACTTACTGATGCCCAGTTTTCTGCTAGGTATTATAGGAGATGAATAGGTATGGTGGGCATCCCAGGTGGCACAAGTGGTAAAGAACTTGCCTGCCAATGCAGGAGACAAGAAACTCAGGTTCAATCCCTGGGTCGGGAAGCCATGGTAACCCACTCCAGTATTTGTGTCTGGAGAATCCTATGGACACAGGAGCCTGGAGGGCTGCAGTCCATGGGCTCACAAAGACTCAGACACAACTGAAGCCACTTAGCAGGCAAGCAAGCATTATAGATGAAGAGGTATATGATGGAATAAACAAAATTTACTATGAGGGACCAGAGGTAAGCTGATGAACAGTGACAAGGCACATTCAGCCTGGCCTTGAACATCATTGCCTCTGTGAAGCCTTTTCTCTTAAATATTTTTTTTTGATGTGGATCATTTTTAAAGTCTTTATTGAATTTGTTACAATATTGTTTCTGTTTTATGTTTTGGCTTTTTTGGCCATATGGGATCTTAGCTCCCCGACCAGGGATCAAACTCACACCCCTTTCACTGGAAGGCGAAGTCTTAACCATTGGGCCATCTGGGAAGTCCCTATGAAGCCTTTTCTGACTGTCTTATTGGATTTTTGTTTCTCCGCTTCTGAACCCTATACCCCTCTGTGTGAGGGAATGGCACTGCTAGTGTGCAGTTCAGTTTAGTTGCTCTATCTTGTCTGACTCTTTGCGACCCCATGGACTGCAGCATGCCAGGCCTCCCTGTCCATCACCAACTCCTCGAGCTTACTCAAACTCATGTCCATTTAGTCAGTGATGCCATCCAACCATCTCATCCTCTGTTGTCCCCTTCTCCTCCCACCTTCAATCTTTCCCAGCATCAGGGTCTTTTCCAATGAGTCAGTTCTTCTCATCAGGTGACCAAAGTATTGGAGCTTCAGCTTCAGCATCAGTCCTTCCAGTGAATATTCAGGACTGATTTCCTTTAGGATGGTCTGGTTGGATCTCCTTGCTGTCCAAGGGATTCTCAAGAGTCTTCTCCAACACCACAGTTCAAAAGAGTCAATTCTTTTAAGCATCAATACACTGCTAGCATAGCTTTTGGTTTATATGACTTTCCCTGGTAGACAGGAATTCTACTCTTTACAAAAGAGACTTATCATGAAAACTTACTATGTGCTGAATTGGTCTAAATCTGAGATGACAAGAAAGTAAAGCCTTAAATGTGCTGGGCTCTGAAGAGGGAGATCTTGGATGGCTTCCTGGAGGAGAGGCACCTGGAAGCACAGCTAAGGGACACAGAGAGGCCTTCCTCCTTCCCCGGAGGATGCAGAGGTGAATTTAGAGCCAGGCTCCTAACCTCAGTGAACTGCAGGGGCCGGACTCTCCTCATCCAGTTCTTCAGGGCTATCTCCTCTCCCCATGCCTCCCACGGTCCTGCCTGTAAGTCTTAGCACTCACCCATTTCTCTCTTCTCCTCCTTCTAGAATCACTCCAGCCCACCGTGGCTCTGCCTCTCTCACGGTCCAGATGAGCACTTCCTGTTTCAAAGCCCTTGTTCCCATCCCGAACTGTGGGCTATCTTTTGTAAACTGGCTTGATGCCTCCCAACAGGCAGACTCTGAGTCTCACCATCCCCAGCTCAGCCTGGGGAATGCAGTAGACGCTCGGTCAACAGCGGTTGATGAGCGGATTGTTTCACAGGCTTCTGGGGCTGAGCATTCTCCTTCCTACCTGGCACTGGATCATGCCGCCAACGTCCAGCTGATTCTTCCTCCTGGGTTTCCTGTGCCTCATTGCCCACCTGCCTTTCCACTGGTGGAGGGAACATGGCTCCCCCTTGCCCAATCTCTGCTCCTGGGAGCCTGGAATCGGCTACCATTGCTCTGATGACACCCACAGAGTCTGTATCCTAGCGACTCTGGGAGGCTGCATCTGCAGTCTTTCATGAATGAAGAAAAACTCCCTTCTGACTTCTGTGGCCTCAGAGGTAATCCTGGATGTGAATGAGCATGTGTGAGTGTGTGGGTGTATGTGTTGCATCTTGGGGGTGGGATATGAGGATGTGTGTTGTATGGGTGTGACTGTGAGTGTGTACCTGTGCGTGTGTATGTGTATAAGCACATGTGTGCTGTGTGCGTGTGGGTGTGTGATGGTATGGGTGTGTGTGTTGCAGTGTCATGTGTGTTTGAGTGGGTGTGAATGGGAGAGCAGATGGGTGTGTGTGTGGGAACATGGACATGTATGAAAAGGGACACTGTATCTGAGTGTGCCTGTATGTTGTGTGTGTGTGTGACTGTAAGCACACGTGTGTGTCTGTTGTATGAGTGGATGTGGGGGTGTGGATGGGGTGGATGTGTGCATGTAAGGTTGTGAGTGTGTATGAGGGTACAGGGATGGGGTTGTGTGTACGTGTGAGTGTGACTGTGTGTACCCTTAGGAAGAAAAGTCTTCCAGACAAATCCTGTTAGAAGACTCAGGACTTTATTTGTCCCCGTGGGTAGAAGACTGTGGTCCTGACCCCCTTGGTGGAAGTCTGGGCCCTCAGACAAAGCCTTCATCCCCTCCTCCCCACTAGCCCAGGCGTCTCCCTCAAATCATCTGCTGTGCAGTGGGCCTTGCGGTATCCTGAGACAAGTGGCTCCATCCCCTGCTTCTGCGGGTCTTTTCAGTTCAGTTCAGTTGCTCAGTTGTGTCCGACTCTTTGCGACTCCATGAACAGCTGCACTCCAGGCTTCCCTGTCCATCACCAACTCCCAGAGTTTACTCAAACTCATGTCCTTTGAGTCGGTGATGCCATTCAGCCATCTTATCCTCTGTCGTCCCCTTCTCCTCCCACCTTCAATCTTTCCCAGAATCAGGGTCTTTTCTAATGAAAAGACTCTTCACACCAGGTGGCCAAAGCATTGGAGTTTCAGCTTCAGCATTAGTCCTTTCAAGGAATATTCTGCAGGTCGGGCCCAACCTTCTCATCTTGGCCCTGCCCCCTCGCAAGACGGCCGGGACCCCCTCGGAAGATGCCAGCCAGGAAGTGGTTTCACTATCCACCCGGGGCCACCTTTCAAAGCTTTGGGGTCCTCCAGGCTCCCCCTGCAAGGGAGATGACTTTGGCTTCAGACATTGGATGAGGAGAAACTGCTGACACAAGTCTGAGGTACAGCAGACCCTGCGGGGTGATGGATGATGAGTTTCCAAGTGAAATCTAATAGAAAGTCCATGCATAATGCATCTTTATGGGAGCGAATTCCAATTTGCATCCCATTAGACCGCTGAAGTCTCAGAGGCCCAGCAGTCTCCCTCGAGTCTTCCTTCAGAAGGAACCCAGAGCAGAGGGTGCCCATGTCTGCAGAGGGTGGAACCCATGGGCACCGTGTAACCTCTTCTCCGACCCCTCCCTTCCGCTCCCCCACGGTGGGGCCTGCCGGTGGGAGGAGCTCTCCCGCCCGCTGTCCCTGGGTGCTGCCCCTGGCCTTGCTCTGGGCAGCTCTTCTGATGTGCCCCCACATGCCCTTCACAAGTGAAATCAAAGGAGAGCCCAGCTTCCCCGGTGCCACTGTAATTTCCGCTCCCCATCCCCCTTGTAGGTCAAGGGTGTGGAGGGAAATAATGTGTGCCCCACTTCCAAAGAGGTAAGGGAAGCTTGAATAGGAGCAGAGTCCCTTCTTCAAGGGTCCGGTGGGGGATTGCTGTAGGGGCGGCAGGGGAGAGGAGAATGTTGGTGGGCGGGGTAGCTGTGAGGTTGCTGTGAGCTCCATCCTGGGGACCTGGGAGCTCGGCCATTCACCGCTCCAATGCCCTGTCTACTGTGTGCACTTAACCCCACTGGCCTCAGCCTCCTTCTCTGGGCACCAGATAATACCACTTGCCCCGCGGGGCTTCTGGGAGTGTGGGAAAGCACGCTTGAGTCCTGGGAGTGCTCTCTAGACCCCGGTGCAGGGAGGGTGGGAGGTGGGGCTGTGTTAGGGGCAGGTCAGGGGCCGGGAAGATGGAAGATGCCTGTTGCACCCAGAGAGTCTTCGCCGGTGGCTCAGCAGCCACGAACCTGCCGGCAGTGCAGAAGCTGCGGGAGATGCAGGTTTGATCCCCGGGTGGGGAAAATCCCCTGGAGAAGGGAATGGCAACCCACTCCAGTATTCCTGCCAGGAGAATCCTGTGGACAGAGGAGCCTGGCAGGCAACAGTCCATGCAAAGAGGAGGACCCGACTGAAGCAACTTAGTTAGCATGAAAGGACGCATGCATGTGGAGCCCAGAGCGCTGAGTCTTTGGATCCCTCCCCCTTCCCTCAGCCCCCAGACTTCCTCTGAGAGCTGAATGCACGAGAATTGTGTGGCCGTGGGGGTCTGAAAGCTGGGAGTTGCATCTGAGGATGTGGGGAGTCTGGTTTTCCTTTCCGGGGTGGAGGTGGAGCTTGAAGGGCGGGGTGGTGGTCAGTGCAGTTAAACTGGAGCTTTTGACATTTTAAGAGCAGGAGAGAATTCTGGAAAAACTGGGAGAGAAGCCAGGCTTGGAGGTGGTTGGGGTGACGTCTAGTCCAGTGGAGCGTGGCCTGGCCTCCCTGTGGCTGTGGGCAGTTCCTTCTGATAGGAACTGAGGACTCCCCAGACCCCCCTCAAAAACCCATCAGAGGTTTAGGCCACACCCGTGGCTCTGCAGAGAGGTCTCTGCCTGGTTCTTAGCTACACCAGGCATGCGCTTGTGGGCGGGGGTCTCTGAGCCATAGGACAGAGCCCTGTGTGAGCGCCGCCCGATTCCCGGTCGGCCCTCTGCCCAGCGGGTCGCTGGCCTTTCATCCTCTGTTCTGTAGCCACTGCCGCCCTGACCCGAGGCCTCAGCAGTTCTGCGGGGCCTTCCCTCCCTGACCGGGTTGTTTGCACTCAACGGGCCCAAACTCCTAAATTACTCCCTGCGGGTCACGGAGAGGCACCGGGCTGTGATTAGGTGAGTCAGAGCCCAGGGCGAGGTCGTCCTGGAGGGACACGCATGCGCTGGTGACGTGGCCCCCAGAGCCAGCGAGATCTCTCAGCTTACCCGGGGCTAAGGGAGGCAGAGGTGTGCTCATCCACTTGGGGCCCTCAGTTATGGGGAAGCGTGCGAAATGTTGGAAGGTACCATTGGATGATCCACCCTGACCTGTAGGAACATGGCTTGTGTCCGCAAGGAATGAATGTCCAGCGCAGCTACAGGGATGGGTCAGACCACAAAGACAGGCCCCGGGAAAGGCCCAGCCCGGCTTGAGGTTTTTTTCTCTTGTAAAATGCTCCTTCAGGGGTGATACCATGGATAGGAATCCCGCCTGCCAGCGCAGGGGACATGGCTTTGATCCCTGGTCCAGAAGGATTCGACTTGCCTCGGAGCAACCGAGCCCGTAAGCTTCAACTCCTGAGCCCGCATGTTGCAACTATTGAAGCCCAGGTGCCTGAAGCCACAGCGATGAGAAGCCGCAACTAGAGGGTAGCGCCTGCTGACTGCAGCTAGAGAAAGCCCACGCACAGCAGCAAAGGCCCAGCTCAACCAAAAATAAAAATAAATTATTAAAAATAAATAAATAAATAAATTACTTTAACACTGCTATTTCAACTGGTCTCCCAGTTTTCTTGGGGTAGTAAAGATGGGAGGATAGTTGTAAAAGCACACCTTTGATAAAAGATCCAATCACGCTTTGGAAGTACTAGGTATACTGCAACATGTTAAGGTATAACCTCAGTGGGTTTATGTAACTTATCACGGTCCGTGCTGTGTTAGCCAAGAACGGTGAACATGATCTGTGTTTGGGACAGGAATGTCACACTGATATGTAATCGTTTCCATGTGCCGTGTTTTGAATTGATGCCAAAGCGGGTGACTGCCTGATGCCCATGAGATGGTCAGCGAGTGTCCAGATCCCTCTCTGGTTTCCAAAGGGGTAGCAGGTTTTACTCCACAAGTTTCTCAGGTTCCGTTGTTCCTCTAGGGCCGGCCTGCTAGGGACATGCACTGTCTTATTTTTCTCAGTAGGTTTTAGGATGTTTCTCCCAGACTTTTGTGCTTCTGTCAATGACTTCCACAGTAATTCATTTTCTCCCACAGAAATTCATTTTCTCCCACAGACAGACTGTTTGCCCAGTTGGACAAGGTTTGTTGATGTGCCATTAGGGCTCAGTCCAGTACCTCTGGTGGTGGTGATTTTCCAGAGCATTCTCTGGAGCGTGCTATCACGTTGTACCATCCCCGGGGCAGCCTGCCCTTGCGAGCTGTTGGCTGCCTGGTAATTATTCTACCCCTGCCATGAGATCTGTGACAGACAGGGTGCCTGCCCTCCAATTACACCTTCCATCACTTCCTCGGTTGGTTGTTCCTGAGTAGTTTTCATTTCCTATGTGCCTGTCATAACGTTTAGCGGTGGATGCATGACCTGGGACCAACTAAACAAATTTTCAGTCCAGACCAAACACCTCACTTGATTTCACTCTCAAGTCAGACATTGCTTTATCTGGGTGGTTTTGTCTAAGCCGCTTCAATAGTCAACCTGAAGGTTTTTCCGTCATCCTGTTTACATTTGTGCCTGGGATTTTTTTTTTTCTTTTCCATTTTTTTAAATAGCATTAAAATACACATAACATAAAATTTACCATCTGAACCATTTTTAAGCCTACAGTTCAATCATATCCAATACATTCATAATGTGGTACAACCGTCACCACCATCCATTTCCAGAACTCATTTCATCTTGTAAAACTGAAACTCTAAACCCATTAAACACCAACTCCCCCTTCCTCTCTGTCCCCAGGCCCCTGGCAACCATCTTTCAGTCTCTATGAACCTGACTACACTAAGCACCCCCTATAAGCGTGATCCTATAGTATTTACCTTTTTGTAGCTGACTTATTTCACTTCGTGTAATGTCTCAAGTTCATCCATGTGGCAGCACATGTCAGAATTTCCTCTTTCGAGAATAGTTTTTCTAACAGATTTGACTGTTGGGTTTTCAGCTTTGAATGCAAAACTGCCATAATTTTCACAGACCCAACGAGGTTGCTATGATACTCACTGAAGATGGGCCTCGCTTTGCAGTCACGAAGCGGTATCTATTGTCAGTGTGAATTACTTCCTTTCCACCTGAGAAACTGGGGGATTTCCAATAGGAGCACTTCCACAGAGAGTTACTCATTAACACCTTGATGCTCCACACAATCTCTGAGTATGGAGATACAACACTTTATAACACTGCAAGTATGTTTGAATAGACACAACAAGTGGCCGTAGTTGCCTAAATCTCCTTGCTTGTGTTGAGGCGAGTTGGTAATTTTTTTGCTTTCAGGGGAGCTCGATGTTTTCATCAGCTTCTCTGTCTTCTCTTATTCATTTAGATGGTACCTACTGTGTACAAGGCAGTGAACCAAGGTAAACAGGAATCAGGCTGCTCTGTCACATCTGCTGATGCAGGAGGACAGCAGGTGGACAAGTCAGGTGCTAGACACATCTGTAAGTGCTTCATTTTCTGGGATGTGGAGGGCCAATTACCCTCCTAGGGGAACCCCAAAACTTGCAAATCTTTTTGGGCAGGAACTAAATTTTCATGCACACCCCCGCCCCCCACATAAAACCTATGTATGTGTTAGATGCTCAGTCTTGTCAAACACTTTGCGACCCCAGGGACTGTGTGGAATGTAGCCCACTGCCAGGCTCCTCTGTCCATGGAATTCTCCAGGCAAGAATATTGGAGTGGGTAGCCATTTCCTTCTCTAGGGAATCTTTTGAACCCAGGGATGGAACCTGGGTCTCCTATATCACAGGCAGATTCTTTACCATCTGAGCCACCAGCAAAGCACCCCCGCCCCCAACTTAAGTCTGCCAGTTTATTCTGACTGGCATTTTAAAATTTCTCCTTGTACTGAATTTTCAGTCATATAAATACATAAATGATTCTTTTTGGAGTGGAGTTGTGGGGATATCAAATTGGGAGGGCGCTGTGTAATTTGAAAAGGCGTTTTCTTGATTGCACTGTCATTTCCTATTTATAAAATTAAAAACAAAACTTACGACTTCCAGAGAGCCAGGCAGAGAAAGCCCAGCATCTTTCCAGGAGGGTAGAGAGATGTTGATTCAGTATCAGTTATTCTCAGGGGGGTGGGAGGAACCCACTGCCTTTATCAAGAGTTGTTCTTTCACGACTGGGTTCAGTGTACATTTCTTCTGGGCCGCGTTCATCTATACCAGGGAGTGTGGGGACCCGGCCAACCTGTCAGGTATACCGACTGGCTTTGGAAATGAACCGGCTCCTGCCAGACCCAGGAGCCTGATGCAGGTCTGGTCTGCTTTGTCCGACTTTGCAAAAGAAGAGACTTTCTCAGCGCCCTGTCTTTAAAGATTGGAGAAGCCACACAGAGGATGGACGCCTAGTACTTTGCTCTTGAAGGCAGAGGCAGTTTGATTTAGGGAGTAAGAAATAGCCAGGAAAAAAAAAAATGAGAAAACACACACATGCACAACCTGAATGCAGAAAGGATTCCTTAAGAGAGGAGGGTTGAGATGGGGGGAATTGCAACCTTATCCCCTGGGACTTGGGCTCAGGAGCCGAGCCTCCAGGTTCAGTGAATCTGTTAGTAACATGAACTTGGTTGCTGTATTTCTCAGCCTGAGCTCATGCATTATTTACCTGTTGTAAGTAAACCTGCTTCTCCCAGGGTTGCTGGGGAAACCACTTTGATTTAACGAGTTGGGTCTTACTTTCCAACTAAAACACTGCAGGGGGGGTGGGTGGGCGGATGTCGGGTCCCAGGGGCTGGGGTGTGGATCAGCCAAGAGGAGACCCCACTTGCCCCTGCTCCCTGGGAGCCCTGTTCTGCTCCTCTGAGACCCTTCTTTTTGGCAGGCCCTCCTGGGAGGGGGAAGAAGGAGCGAATCCCAAGGAGCATGGCGTTCATCTTCTGAGGTCCTGGGAAGGCCACTTGCGGGTCTTATCCCGCTTGCTTTCAGAGATACCATCAGTTTGTGCTGCATAGGGATGGCGGGTGGGAAGGGATCAAGTTTCCCCAGAGGCTGTTTCCAGGTGAATCAGGCCTGGGGAAGCCAGCTCCAGGCACACAGGGAACATGGTCCTCCTTCCTTCCAAATTCAACGCTGGCTCCTAAGCCGTGAGAGCCCTCCTGATCCAGATGGCTGTGGTGACCGAGGAAGAGCTTGGACTGACAGGTGCCAACCCTGGGTGCAAGTCTCTGTGCGTTTATTGAGAGTGAGAATTGGAGGGAGTTATGCAGTCTTTCTGCCTCTCCATGCCCAGGTGTGGGAGATGGACACTAGGGTCTGTTGGGGAGAGGCGGGGTGCAGGGACATGGCCCCCACCCAGGGGGACTGTGATGTGGGTGAGGGGCCCCTGGCCAGCCTTGCTGCCTCTTTCCTGTTCTTGTCGGCAAGACTCGGGCATCACGCCTGGCTCCCTTCCTCCCCTCTAAAGCTATCGATTTTTCCTTTCCTTCCTTTGTTCTATTTGTGGCTTCCCTGGCCCCTCACAATTGCATTATTTCCACAGACGAGGGAGCCTGCCGTGCGCATCAGCGGCCGGGCTTCCTCTGTGCCCGCAGGCCTGGGCTGCTCCCCGTTCAGGACTTTGGGGCCTTTTTGTGTGCCAGTGGTACCTTCTGGGTCTTTCCAGAGTCTCTTTCTCTCTGCTGTGACTGGAAGGAAGTTGCTATTTGTCAGGGGAGTGTGCATGTGTGTGTGGGGGTCTTCCTGGGTAATGCAGACTCAAAATGTGTCAGTAATAGACTCATCCTTGCCTTGACAAATATTTAAAAGACAGCTATATAACTTGGGCTCCCCTGGTGGCTCAGCAGTAAAGAATCTGCTTGCCAGTGCAGGAGACACAGGTTCGATCCCTGGGCCGGGAAGATCCCCCGGAGGAGGCGCGCAGCCCACTGCAGTATTCCTACCTGGAGAATCCCGTGGACAGAGGAGCCTGGAGGGCTACAGTTGGCAGGGTCACAAAGA